CTACAGGAATACTTCTGAGCCAGGATTAAGGCCCACTAGCWGGACACTATGAGGAATCTTGGACTATGAGGAATCTGGGACTGCTAGCTGCTTACTTGTACCTGTCCCAAGAATAAAAGAGCATCAGAATCCAAACAAACTTTTCAAATAGTGTATTTGCTTCATTGTKTAGAAAGAGAAAATAAATTACTTCAAAACTAGATGACCTCAGGCTGCACACCAGAACAGAATAACCCTTCCCCTCAAAGACCAATTTATTAAAACATCTGGTTTACACAGCACCTTAATCCTGCTAAGATACAAACTGCTTGCTTAAGAAATTAACATTTTTTAAAAGCCTGGAAACTGTATTCAGGTAATCCGTCATATGACATCTGATTAGAAAAAGCACCACATTATTTGCTACTAAAGAAAAAGCATACTCAGATTTCAAAGCAGCACAGATGTGGGAAGATCCAAGGCAGAAGAGAGCAGGTGGCAGGCTAGCTGGCAATTACAAAATGTACAAGGTTATAAAATGACTAAGACTTAATTGTCAAATCTATACATTTAAAGCTAATATTAAAATACTAATTTAGCATTTGTATGGCATTTTACCTTTCAATGTTAGAAAGCAGAGAGATYTCTTCTGTACATTTAAAGTTATTTTATCTCACTGTTCTACAGTCAGGTTTCAAATAAAACCTTTATGATTAAAAAGCTCACTCAGTTATCAATACCCTATATCTGAAACACAGTGCTTTGATGGCCCAGGCTGAGAAAAATAAAAACACGAACTGCATTTTACCCAGAAAAGAGTTTAGYAGCAGAATGATCAGTCTACAGTTCAGTAATTAAGAAAAAAAGGTAACTACCACGTTTCCAGCATCCATAATAAACTRAGTAAAAACAATGCTTATATATACTTTTATTTCACAGTGTTTTTAATAATCTTAATTTAAAGGTCAAAAATATAGCAAGTACAAGAGATGTATGCTAAGTTTCCCAAGCTCTCTGCACAAAAATAGTTTTTACTACTCCTGCTTTAGTAAAATCAAGCCAGGTGCCCCCTGCAATATCAAAAACAACCAAATGCCAAGAAGTGCTGCAGGATACATGAAAAACAAAAATAATGAGAAACATCATTTTCTACCCATACATCTGGTCCAGCTGGAAGGGATCAGGCACTGTCTTTCTCCACCTTTATCTCCTCTTTACAGAGCAAGCCAATATCAAAAGGTCAAAAGTATTCACTAGTCATTGAGACAGAAGTTGGAATTCTATCTTCAGAGACAAATGAGTCAAATAATGATATGAAATGAAGAGGAGATTCCAGTGGAGAAGATGAGGAATCTGTAAACCAAAAGGAATGATAATCCTGGTCTCACTGAAGACAAGCATAAATCTCCCAATGATTTCTTAAGGGCCAAGATTTTCATGCAACAACAATATTCTTCAAATAAGCAATGAATTCTCATGGAAACAACATGTGTTACAAATCACACAAAATCAAATCAGAACAAAGAGTATGAGAGAAATCCCACTGAGAAATGATTCATCAATAGCATGATTCCAAAAACAGTGAATACATATATTCTTGCATGAATATTTGCAGAAATTACTGAACAAGATCAGCAGTAACAAAATATATCCTTTAATAAGTTCCTTTTCTTTCTTCCAGCTCCATGTAATAGGTTGCTCAACAGGGAAGCAAAGGTTAAATGTCTACTAACTAATGCAATAGTGCCTTAACAACATMTTCAGGCCACAAAAGAATATATTTCGAAGGAAGTCCATTCCCTCTACATTTCCCTTAATTCCTCATATACCTACACARAACAAGTCACTTTTTAGTGACAAAGAAAAGAAAAATCAGAAACCAGAGCTAAGTAAAATTAAGTCAATTTTCTCAACAACCTGAAAGATCCTGCAGATCTTCACCCTTTCAGAAACAGAGTACAAACATTCAATGACAAACCAAAACAATCTTTGAAATAAACTTTTCTTTGCTTGCTTTGAAGAGTTGTGTTGATCAGCATGAGAAGGAGCTTTTAGCAGTTCCTCCCAGGCTCGTAGTCATATGCAGTTTGCATGAATAGTATGAACAGCACTATATGAATATGCAATTTTGTCCTAGGTAAGTACATGATTTCCTATATAGAAAAAAAAAAAAAACCCTCTCTAGAGTCCCATTACTTCATTTCCATGCTCTCAAATACAACTGAGTCAGCTCACACTATGTCCAACAGATCGATTTCAAGAACAGGATAGACAGAAAGGTTTCATAAACGATCCAGGTAAACATGCTCTCGGCATGCAACTCCCCCTACATGTTACCCAAATCTGAATTTAAGCATCCTGGCTGCAAAACAAATATTTCTTAGTATATCTCTAAACTTAAGAAAAGCAGTAAGTCATAATAAATTATTGTAATTTTGCCTAAAAACTGGAATGGACTGGAAAAACATTGTATCCCGTTACCTCCCCACAGCCTCCCTTTTTTGTGGTCTAAAACTCCAACTATTTAACCTTCCCTCACAAATATGATTTYCTAAATTTATTTTCACTCTGTTTACCTAGTCTTTTTGTTAAGTATTCTCTTTTTTTTTTGTTTTTTTGAAAAGCACAACAATCAAAACTATATAAAAATAGGTCCCAAAGGTGGATRGATCACTGCTACACAGAAATGCTGAAAAATTACCTCTCAGTTCTGCAATACTGATAGTATCTATCTCCCAACAGCTYGCTTTCTTTTATTATTTCATTTAATATTCAGTTCTAAGTAAAGAGTAACAACTTGGCAAGACTAGCTCCTCATAGACATAAACTCAGTGCATTCTCAAACTTGGGCAGAAGAATAACTTTACTATACTGTAAGTATGTTTTCACCCAGCTATGAAATCTTAGGAAAAAAAAGAAAACACTCCTCTTTCTCCTTCCCTTGGTAGATCATTTATGATGCCTAAGAAGGAAGCTGTTTTCTTCTCTACAGCCTGCTATCGACTTCAATACTTAAATCCTATGGAAGCAGTAATGAAAAAGAATAAATCACAAGGAAAAAAAGAACTCATAGTATTTAAACTAATAAATCAACCTAAGAACTGAACATAATTTAAACTTTATATCAAATTGGGCACTTTGCACAGTACAGCACTTCCAAAACACTGGTTCATGGATTTTAGGCACCTCTAAAGTACAAATGTCAACAGTGCAGAGCAGTTGAAGAGCAACATTAAATTATTGTAAGCATCTACATTTGGGATACCAATAGCAGGGRAAGCAACTCTACTCCTTACTCCTGGAAGGATGACAAAGTAAGATACTACTTTATCAAGCTCCTTTGATTCTACCGCAGTTTTCTCAATGCTGGTTGGTCATATGTAGTCCACATCCTTGAATTACAACGGAAGACAAGGGAAAAAATGGCTGACAGGCTTCCTTATGAGTGAAAAATGACAATCCCAAGAAAAGGTCTGGCAGCAAAATGATTTATGAAAGAGTAACTTTTTCCTAAAACAAGCAGAACTGAGAGGTGAATGTTACACACCACTTGGTTTCACGTCCCTGCAAGAGGTAGAAGAGGGAAGCTGACCCAGTTCACATGTACGACGTGAAAGTGAAGAAAAATACGTATTTCTAAAATGGAAAATGTGTTAAATGACAGTTAGGAACAATTCATTTGTGGTACAACCATTTTCCTGGTGAGCTTATTACAAATCGCATGACACAGACCTTCTCCTGCTACAAATTGCTCCTACAGGCTACTACAGCCAGTGACATATATTCTCCATTTCTTTGTGCAGTTTGTGAATCTATTTCCCTCCACTACTGTATTAAATGTTGATGTWGCACCATGACATATCAGCTGTCAAGCAAAGCAAGCACAACTCATCACAGTTTGTTCAGGTCAAACACTTTACCCAGACAGYATACCTACAAATTGCCTGCTTGTACCTAAAAGGTCAACCCCTTTTGCAACAGAATATAATTTTTAAAATACCCTTATTTAGCAAAGTGATGAGATACAATACTGAATATCCAGATAGAAGTGTAGAAAACTTAGTTTCATTGAGGACATCTGAAAGGATGGACCTAMAACTAGTTCTTCTAGCAGAGTCTCTGAAGAGACAACTTCTATASATTCTATGAGAAGGTGCAAACTTAYAGATGGAATAAGCCCAGTCTTATCCAATTTCTGCATTTTCATGGAAATTCAAAGACAGACTCAATTTCTCTCAGAGGGGAARAGGAGAGGAACCAGATGATCAAGCATGCAACCAACCCCACTTCACTTCAAGCAAACCCTTCTCATCTGTCTTCCAAGGAAGGCATATTTTCAAGGCAACAGAATAATTTACAATATTTATTCTCAGTTYCAACATGAAAATTACACATTTTCAAGCTAGTATGATTAAATAAAATTTACCAGAACACAGTTATATTAATTGACACTAAGAACTCTTATCTCTGAKTAGAAAGAACCTTAACAATAGGCCTAAATTGAATTGTTAGAACTTYTTGCATCTTATCTGATGCATGGAACAGTACATGATCAGTTCCATAATCAAAAYATAATACATCTGCATATTAAGAAGCAAAGGTTTCTTCTTTCTGCTTTGCTTTTCTTTTAACMGAGAAGAATCTATTCTTGCAAGCAAAATTTTATTAACTGCAATTAGAGAAAGAACCAAGCCTCATACAACTTGACAGCATTAYGTTCCACTAATTTCTAGTGAACAAGAATAGTTTATTATTATTTATATTAGAAACCATAGAAAGCTTTCATATAGCTTAATCAACAACATCCTATTATAACAAGATTTCCAGTGTCATTACAGAAATTACACTGAACATTGAAAAAATTTTTTCTGCTATGTCTCTGCCAGACAATTAGTACTTCTATACACTTTCATGGTATATGAAAATTGTGGAAGCATACACACAATATTCTGTTTTCCTGAGAGGCAAGGAAATGAATCAAAATTTAAAATACATAAGAACATGGAAGATTTTGAACTTACCTTCTTTTTCTGGGTTCTGTTCCTGCCTCCCAACCAATCATCCATCTGTTCCTCAATCTCTTCAATTGAAGCTCCATGATCATAAGATGGTATATACGCATTTGATTCCAGTGCTGTGTATACAGGGAATTCTGATTTTGGTTTCTTGACTTTAGGCTTCTTCTCTTCTATAGAAAAGCAAAAAAAAAGAAGGAAAAGTAATGCTACAAGTACTGCAGGGATGTATAATTCAGAAGCAGGCTTAGCTCCTCAACTCTTAATCCTACCTTAAAATTTCCACTGAGGAAGAGGATTCAATTTCTTTGTTAAAAAGTGAATCAGAGTTTTACATATTAATTTTATTTTCATTGAATGTAAATAACAATGCACCCACTTAGCCCTTCTTCCATCTGAACTATGCCTAAAAGGGCCAGATGAGTTAGCTCTCTCCAGTTACTCTACACTACCTGGCAAAGGAGATTAGTACACAGGCAAAAGCACAAGAGCTGTTAAAARATTCTGAAAGCCCAGCTAGCTTCAGAGAAATTGGCAAAGGTAGAAARGTGAATTTTAGACAATTCTGTATTACTTTAGCAACCTATGCTAAGTAGAAGCTTCTGAGTTAACAGGTGGCTTCTCTATACTAAGATTTCTCCAACCACACACTGTTTTTTTCTAGCACTTACACATTCAGGAAGATTTAAATATTGGACCTAATTTCTCACACTGATCACTATTTTCTGCTTTCTCTGACCTTCAAATGGYATTAAATGGAGAAGCAAACTCATGGGATAGAAAGGAAGAACCACAATAACCTAAACCCCAGTGGCTAAAATTGCATCCATTATATGAGACGATTTCAAAAGTAAGATTTAAAATGGAAAATTGACAGAACTTTAGGAAAGACAAGGAGATGAGGAGCAGAAAGAGAAGCTTGAACACTCAGAAAACATCCAGAAACCTCAGGTGCACCCAGTGGGACTTTTCTGTTTTTTCATTTTTGTTTGTTCAAATTAAATGCCCCTAAACTGAAAGAGCTGATGAAATACTCCACTGCAACCAAGAGGGAAGTTCTGCTCTTGACTCCAMCTTTCCACGCTCCACTGCACATCTTTGTGCTCCTCTCGCTTCTATTGTGTTTCTACAATTAGCCAATCACTCAGCAAACTACTTTAATTTACTAAGCTAGTAGAAAATTACTCTTAAGGCTCAAACAAATAGAAAAAACACAAGTCATTTAAAGGTGGTGGGCAAAGAAAAGAAGAACCACACTTGTGTGATCAGTTTATCTGCCTTTGCAACCATGCCCTAACACTTGAGAGGAGAAAAATCCTTTTTTTTCATGGAAACCTTAAAAAAATTCCCAAAGAGCAGAGAGGACTGTTCCCTACAGATTCTCATGCAGAATTTCTTTTCCTAAAAATATGTACAGAAATAGCACAATRAAATAACTCCGCTGATTTGACAAACTCTGAAGAAGCGAATATTTAAGAAAACAATTAGGTAGAGAGAACTGTTTCTATTMCAAAATGAACAGAAAATCCTCATAGATCTTGAAAGTTAAGAGAATGACTAATGATCTTTGAAGCTGTTCACTGTTTAGAGTTTCACTGTACATTGTTCAGAGACCTGTTTTTGTAAATAATCTTTAACTTTACTTGTCAAATTCAATAAATGAAATTTTAAGTTACAACTTGTMTTTGGAATTTTTTTAGCATCCTTCTATACAGATGTGTAGAAAATATAATGAAATTACAGATACTCCTCAAAATTAAGTGACAATTCAAATGTATTAATACCAACATTTTTCTTACTGCGCAGATATTAGTAAAGACAATACATGTACAAATTTATTTTTTCTATTTCAAAAGGTAATTTTTATAATAAAATAATGTATATTATACATAATTTAATTTTACTCCAAAACTGCCAGGYATAACAGCTTCTGGAATCAGTTAAGATTTGTATGGATAAGTTACAATGGCTTTACCAGCTCTTTGCTGCTAACATATATACTGGAAAAATCTTCTAGGAAGTTAACTTAAATGACAATTTCYACCACTGTATTTCAATCCCTCAAAATAATCAAGCACACTGTGTGTGTTCACTTGGAATTATGTAACAGCAGAGACACACCATTACAGTTGGCTTTTCCTGTATCTTGCACCCCATCAGCTACTGCTTATTAGTTTTCCCTCTCAAAATATGCAAGTAGTTAAAGCCTGAATGCTTTTAACCAAAATTAAAAACAGAGCACAGCCTGAAATAGGTCATCTAGGCTCTTGCTGTAGTTTTGGAAGTAATTCTGTAATTATTTGCAGAGGACACTGTGCTCCACTTTAAAATGAGGTATCAAAGACAGTATCTAGGCTTTCTTCAGGCAGTTAAGTGACAGAGGAAGACCTAACATAGATAAGACACCCTGCTGTTTGCTGACTATCAAAGGAACAAGAAATCCCACCTAGAGAAGATGGCTGTACAACCTCAAACAAGCACTCAACCAGAATTTTAAAAAACTTATCTCTACTGTCTCCTGTGCATATACAAAAAGATGAAGGAGTTCAGCGTATCTCTTAATACCACTATGGTTGTCATACTGAATTTAAAAAAAAAACAGAACTGAAGTCACAGCACCTTTGACATAGGGTTCGCAACAACCCATCAAGAATAGTTTCACCTCAGAATTTTCAAAGCCACTTTTGAGAACAGGAAAGCACATAAAAGCAGTTTAATGGTAACATCTTGAAGGATTTTAGAGGAAGTTCAGAAATTATGTTTAGATGTATGAAGCCTCAACTTAAAGCAGCAAACCACTGGTGCTCTTTCAGGTGAATATAGGGAAAGCAAAAGAACTATTTCACCAAAACAAAASAAGTCCAGAGGACATATCCAGGAAGGAAACTTCCCTCTTTCATGTTATCTTTTTGCTATCAGCAACTCAATTGGCAGCCTAAAAGACACTTCCGACCTGACTGGGCACTTTGCCCTGAAGAGAAYATGGATCAGGTTTTCTAAATAGTAGATGATGCCTAGACAGCTGAGTCCTGTATCTGCTAAGGCTTGACAGAGAGCCAGAAAGTTGGTGCAGCTGCCACCACCCTGATCTAAAGTAAGGATCGTGCTGACAGTAGTGACAACTGCAGCTATAATTCAGTTTTGAAACACGAGTGCTYCCTGAAGTGTCATTTTCAAATGAGGCTGTAACAGAACAGAACAGGCTTTTAAAAGACTTTTTTTTCCACCAGTCTAAAATATTGTTTTAATATTGTTACACACAAACCTAACTAGAGTGTAGGAAAGACATATAGAAAAGATTCCTAGGCTCCTCTCTGTTCCGTGACAGTGAGCTCAGCGTCTGCCACTGTGTCCTACGTGGGCATCAATATCCTGCAAACCTTCACYATGACCAGAGTTAATGGTACTCATGAACTAAACACAGGGGAGAGAAAACAATCTYGGTAAAAACAGAGCCCGACTTCAAAAGGGTAAATGAAAAGCTTACTCTCTTTACTATTTTCTGGGAATATTATGTACTTTAACTGGCAAATTATGGTGTAGTAACTTTTTTAGTTTATTAAATAAAATTAAAAAGACAGGCAACAGCACAAGTAAATGGAATCCATAAGCACAATGGAAATTGTTTGACACCTACCAGTCCAATGTAAACTGAGCAGTATTTTACATGACTCATACTAGATTTTTTAGAGTTCTAGTCCTTTTTAGCAGTAGGAATTTTGTTTTATCATTTGCTGAATTCATACTGCAAAAATGATTTTCCAAAAGTATTTTCCACCTTTAGAACTATGAAGTTCTTTACCAGAAGAATAAAATTGATTATGTATTTAACAACTTAGGAGTTTAAAAAAAAGATATGGAGCCATGTCCTGTACGTTTGAACAGCATATAAACACATCTATCGCTGGAGTGCCCAGACTTTAACAGATAACAATTACCTAACTATCCTTAATCACAGAATTTTATGTTTTAAAGGCCTCCAAAATACTATTCCTGTACTGGCTATACCTTTTACTGGTTTATGGTACCATGATCTGGGTTTTGAAGACTGATGAATTACTTGCACATAATCAGATACATTGATCTTCCTTGTTAGTGCTTCCACCCTGTTAGTACATTAATTTTATCAGTGGCAGAACTAATAGTATCTGGATAATGGTTATTTGCTTTAAGGTACATCAGCTGTCAGATAAGGAATCAGCTAGACTTTTTGGATCAAGTRCCATGTAATAAAATATGTGATGCTTTTTCCATAACAAGCATCAGARGGCCTGTATTTTAAAGTTTTCAGATAAATTTATTTTGATTTTACATGTTAACTGATGTAAATGTAAAAATCTCAGAGAATTTTTCCACAGAAAAAGCAACTGCTTCACAGAGGAAGAAATAAATCCAAAACTAAGCACTGAACTTCTGTGAAGAAATTATGAACACAKCAAGTTGTAGCTCCCTCACTCTGCAAGGCTTCTAAGCTTTATGCATAAACAAGAATTCATAGAAAATACAGTCAAAAAAGGACAGTGATACCTTGAAAATCAAAGGGACAAACTGCCTGATATCTCAYGCATTAGTAAGCAAGAAATACGACCACACAAAAAGGAAGACAGCAAACATCTTTTTTRAAAATCAGTAAGATACTGCAGAGATCTCTCTTCTCAACACAATTCACTCAYCTATGTAACTATGAAAGACAGTCAAAGCATTTACAGCATTAAAATTTGTTGAAAACATGACAAGAGAAAAATTCACTTACACATACAGTAACACAGTCAGACAGAACACAAAGAAACCAGAAGTCWGGAAAAAAAAAATTGCACCAAGGCTTTGACAATCTATTGAAAAAATGGAGTATATCATGTTCTATATCAATGCAAATACAGKGCAAACACACATATGCTTAAAAAAAGTACACATTTCTATACTCTGAAAATCAATGGGATTATATGAATATATCAAGAATTAGGGACAGATACATACATCTGCTGTACTGGACATACAAGCTAGTTTATTTTTGAACAAACTGACTAAAGACATGTCCAGAAATGAATGCATCCTCAGCTACTTCTCACAAGCTGTAGCTTTTGGTGCCTTTCACTTTTTTTTGTCTGAGTACTACCCTTCCCAAAATGTCCAATTCCCCTAAAATACAAAGGGGTTAGAAACAAGGCTCCAATATTTAAAGCTAATTTGCCCTCCAACAAACATATAATGAAGCATGCATGCCTCTCTCAAATGAGCCTCATGCACTGTATGTTAGTGGAATATTTTCCATGAAGTCTGAAGCAAGTTTTGTGGGGAGAGGTATCACACAAGCCTACTTGAAACAATTGGGAAAAACACACAAGCTTGAAAGTTCAAACTCCTTTTGGGCCTGCCAAAACAATCAGTGAAATGGATGATACATAGTTTGCCATAATTAGGCTTTGGAGGTAACAATTAAGTGATCAGAACATTCACACCCACATCAACCAAAAAAGCATGCATTGCATAAATTAATTTTCTCTGAACCTGTCTGTCAGCAAATCATTACTGAGTAGCCATGTCAACACTGCATTTTGGCAGGGATTAATACTAAACACAATTACCCAAGATATTCATCAATTATTTGGAAGTAAAAGGGAAGTTGCCTTCAGWACAGTGGTAGAATCCATAAATTCGATCAAAATGGTTTACGGTGAAGAGGAAAGYACAGGAAGAAGCACTGGCCTACTGGTAGTCTGGGACCAATCAAATGAAAAGCGTTTTTGAAAATTACACAATTAAGGGCCTTATGCCATATCTGCACTTAGGAGGCACTTTGTGCAAGGAACTTTTGATATCAGAGCTTGCAGTTATGGTGGACAAGCAGTCTGAAATGAGCTATCAGAGCAATTTGAACTAATGCAACTTGTGATTCTGTAATACTACAGAAGAAACATGGTTTTATAATCAGAAGATAACAAACTTTAGAAAACTGTGTACAAACCCACGGCCCAATACTTATAGCCACATTGCAAAACTAAACCGTGTACAGAAGATGCACAGAAATGAAGGGCTCAAGAAAGGCTTCATGTTAAGAAAACCTGTGGATAAATAAAATTATTTTCAGGCACAGACATGCTAATAATGAATAACTGAAAGCTACAGCTGAAGAAATCCATACTGAAATTAGGATATAACTATGTAATAATAAAATTAATTAATGAAGAACAGAAGGCATCTCAAGGTCTACTGACCAAAGTCAAATGCAAAGCTGAAGTGCACCACTGGTACAAATCAAACAAGACAAATCAGGAGAATCRGTATTTTTCACTGATTTTCACCTTTCATAAAGCACTTATACTAAATGACCTAATGACATCTGCTATCCCTATGTTTCATTAATGCTTGAATGATGGGGTTAAGGAAAAAGCAGAAAAACCCACATACAGTTCAACATGGTTTATAACTAGAAACAAAACAGCCTCTTGCCACAGATTGTTCCAGATGCCTTGTACATCATGGCAAGAATTCTGGATTTACAATGCAAACGTATTTCGTAACTGGTATGCCAGTAAAGAGTTCACCTGCAATTCCTASCAGGCATATAGCAGTTTTTTCCAAAAAGGAGTATTTTAAGAATAAATTTAAGTCTTCATATTGAATGTCAGGGAAAATAAACCAAGAAGAATGGAAAGTAAGAGAACTGTCACAGCTAAGCATAAAGATAGAAAAAYAGATGTTTCCCCTCAAAATGGACAKCATTGAAAGAAGTACTCCAYGCAAAAAGCTCTTGAGAGCAGCTAGAATTTGTCCTGATAATTATTCAAAACTTATAATTGAAATTTAAAATCTGAGTCATCTGTCCTGATGCCTATGTCATCTTAGTTTAATAATGCCTATTCAGTGCAGCTAATACCTACTGTACTTTACATCCCATGACTAAGAAGAACAGGACTATCCATTGTGAAAGAACCATTCCCTGATGCAGGGATCACACACATGTGACACTATAGGAGAAGGAGAAGTTGAAAGAAAGTTTACTAATTAGAGCACTTCCATTTAAATATAAACTTTTGTGGTCTGACATCTAAATGTGAAAAATGCATCAGAAAATGCAACACAAACAATTGCTACTTTTGTCCCTAAGACACATACCTATTTGTAATTCCATGCAAAACAAAACCATATTTCCCAGGAACATAAGACTGTATTGTAAGTTACTCTATTTTTGTAAGGTAAAGTTGCTACATTTTATTAAGGAAGTAATGACAGTTTTGAATGGACTGAGAAGTGATAAGAAACACAGCACAAGTGCTGGAAAAATAAATCAAAACTGCATAATATTGACTTACCAAGAAATTATTTTTTCACGCTTCTTCCCAAAAATAGAACTTTAATGACATCTCAGTATTGCCCTCTCTTTCCTATTTAGCAAATTGTATTTTCCTCCTCCAGTACCCTTCTCTGATTTTAGCTGAAGCTGCCTACAGAGTACCGCACAGTTTCAGCAGGAAAGCAGACAGACAAGGGGGCAAACTAGCAATTAGGGCATGAAAAAACAAGCACTGTAAAACAGCTATTGCTAATCAGCATGAGATATGTTTACTCAATTAAATAGATGGAACCTTTATTAAGACCTCGCATCCCAGGGACAGTCTCTAAAATTAAGAAGAATGGGGGCAAACAAAATGCACATTTGGTAATTTACAACCTTTCTAAGCTAATTGTGAARTGACAATACAGAGCAAAATAATGAAATAAGCAAATTTAGCAGATGCTTTGCATGCAAGCTTCAAGAAAAAATGATATGATTTTTTTTTTGCCTACAGTAACATGGATGCATCTCTTGTTCCTATCATGGGAGTCTTGTTTATTGAAAAAAACAAAAAACCCTGACAGCTCATTCWGCTGCTTAGCTATAGCACTGCTACRCCTGACCAAATAATTCCATACCAAATCTCAAACTCTGCTAATTGCAGGTGGTGATTCTCAATCCCCCTTCTTGCTCCCTGTCGTAAGTAAGCCTATGAGGGGAGGGCAGGATGCCAACCAGTGAGACTGGTGAACAAACATTGGCCCCTGCTCACACAAGTGACACTGGGTCACCTGGCAGACATGGAAGTCACGTCATGGTGCACCCAACAGCATGACAGGGTGGTGCTTCTGTGAGAGGTCAGGGGTGACCTGGAAGGCTCAACTCGCCAAACCTGTGCCTCTCAGGTTTGGAGGTAACAAAAAAAAAAGTGACTCTTACAACAGACCTGGCAGCAGGGAAATACTGGAAAGTTCACACATGGCCTTTCAGTGACACACAGGAACTTGCACACTATGATTTTAATGACTTTATACTTTCATTTCCACTTCTATTTCCACAAGCTAGTCCTTTTAAAACAGTAGTTCACAGATTTTAATGAGGAATGTATGCCAGCTATTTTGAACAATGGCAATACATTACTATCTGACAATTTAACAAGTTTTTAATAACCCGAGTCAAGACCCTTTTCAAGGGCCCATTTTGTGGTAGGTATCTCAAACATAATGGCAGGCCTTCCTAACAAGCACTAAATGCACTGTTTTGCTAGATTTGGCCTGGATCCATGATGCTTGCTGAGGTGCTGAATGTTACCCATTTTCCTAAAACAGATTCAGCTACAGATAAGTTGGGAATTATTGCTGGAACTGGATCTCTTTGATGATTTTACAAAATTAAGCTATTTTGTAAATATAAGTAATGCAGCTGTATTTTAGGTACCTAAAGGCTTATGCATACTCCAAGCTAGTAAATTATCACAAGGCACTCAATGCACTTGTCAGAACAAAGGAACTTAAAAGCATGCACTTAAGTACAGTAAATAAAGCAAGCATGCACATATAAACACAGACAAAAAACTGTTAAAATTGTCTTAGAAGAGGGTAGGTTTAATCATTGTCAAAAGCAAATAACTGAAAGAAGAAAAGGAAAAGTCACCTATAATTATCTTGAATACTTTATTAAGGGAAATGTTAATTGCCTTTTCTGGTCTTTTATAAGACTGTAAAGACTTTAAAGCATTTATTTCAACAATAGCATGAATCCATCTCTGAAGTCTGCATCCATGCTTTTGGAAATTTAAATTATTGGTGCTTTCTATCACAAAAATCAACTCAATATGTACAAAAGAATTATAGACATTATTTTAAAAAAATATTTACAAACAACAAGAATAGAAAAATACTCAAAAACCCAAGAGATCACTTCTGAAAATGTATAGTACATCTGAGATCTCCCCCTCCCRTAAAGCAACATTTCTAGCAAGGTATGTACTTCTTGCTACAATGTAACTCACCACCTGAGGTTTATGTTTCTATAGGARCAACTCAGCAGCCTACTGCAAAATTAGCCACAAAATCAAAAGCTTATTTAACTTTAGCAGCAGTAGAGAAATATATAAAGCATGTATTTTAGAAAATTATAAAAATGTTTGTTCATATACATCCAGTGTAGAAGGTATATTGTATTACATCTTTGTTTATTAAGACAGCAGTAAAAACTCACTCTGAAGTGTTTCAAGTTCAGCCTTAGCCAGGGCATCTTCTTTCTCCTTCATTTTTGTTTCTTTATATTCTACATATAATTGTCTGGCATCCTTTAAGAAAATGTTGCAATGGCATTAGCATCCTTATACAAACAAGTTATTGCAATGGCTCTGTTATAAGTTCTCACTTAACCTCACAAAAAAAAAAGTTTCCTTGAGTTACAACTATTTTTCAGTCTAAAACCTAGAATCTGTGTAATAAAAGTTCAAATGCAATAGCATTGCATTTAGTGATATTACATTATAGACTACAACGCTCATTGACAACCTGAAAGGCAAAATGGTTAGAGAAACTACCTACAGCTTTGCAAGACCATGTACCTACTTTGCTCAAATCAGCAATCTGGAAGTTCAAGGGAGAAAGAAAAGTTTTTAATTAGTGTATGCAAGGACAAACAAAGGCAATTGCTAGGCAGCAATCTCCTTAATGTGAACTCAATAAGGTAACACTAACTGCATGTGCCAACTTATCCCACTCTCCCCCTTTTTTTTAAACTTCTACATTGTTATTAATGTGTCAAAAAGAATTTTTTCTTTCTCCAAGGATTAGATTCTAATCGGAGATCTAGAAACCAAAACCRGTACACATCAAACTAGAAGTCCTGTCACACATACACCATAATAAAGTACACCTTTCCAAAATCTGATGAATTAGTRATTATGAATTTCTGTTGAAAGCTTTCCAGTATGAACAACCAGATTGCTGAAGTAAGAAGTATGGAGAGTTTTTTTACTCTCACTTACCAGTTCAAGAGATTTTTATACTCATTCAAAAACAAGGAATCTATAATAGAAATGCTGAAATAGAGAAATTGTTATTTATCTTTTTCAAGCATGCAGAATTTCTATTGTATTATATAAAAACTAATTACAGCATTAGATAGACCTAATCTTAGTTCTTTTTAACCAAAAATACTTTTTTGTGTTATTTCACTAACAGTATCACTTTTTACAGATAAACAGTAATTTAAATTTTAATACAGAAGGTATTGTGAAGTGGTAGTAAATATTTTTTATAATTTTAACTATATTTGAACAAAACCTGGTATCATCAACGTGAAATAAGACATGTTAAGAAATCTTGAAAAGAAAAATCTGAGCTAAGCAGTCATTACTGCTGCCTCTGATGGTAGAAATCATTCCATTCTCCCTGCAAAGATCCAACAATTGCTCTTCATGTTACACCTCCATCTACCCTTTCAAAGATACTTGAGGGAGGCTGGAAAAGACATGACAGGAATTGTGMCCATGCTCTGAGCAGAACTTTGTAGTGGTTTGGAGATCTCTCATAGATACAAATCAGCACACTAGAAGAACAACTCTGACAAATTCCCACAAAAGATCAGTGAAGTTCCACCTCCTTCCAAAACAGTGTTTGGTTTCTTTTGTTTGTTTTTTTTTTTTTTAAACACTGGGTACAGGAAATGGAAAAGTTATATTTTTTCCCAGTTTTATGTAGGAAATCACTACACACAAAGTAATTTAAAAGGCTTTACATATCTTTTTGCTGCTAGAACAGAACAGAAGAGAGCATCTCACATGCTAACAGTTTTAGGACTGGAGAAAAGGGGATTTTTGGTAGTTTTAGAAGAGTTGTAGCTAAAAAAAAGTGTAGCTACAGGAGGACTAGCATTAACAGAAGATATGTAGGCTTTGAGGAGACATATTTGAATTACAAAATTAGGATTACCATTGGTTCTCTTTTTGGTTTACCTGAAATAAGAACTCCATACTACACTGGAAACTTTCCTTATACTCTTGAGRTTTGGCCTACTTGCAAAATTAAGAAACCGAAACAGCCATAAATGGGATAGTTCATTTTTCCTATGAGTTTGAGACATTTGGGTTGTGTGGCATACACAGGACTCAGACTTACGGATATACAAAATTCGCTTTTGTTTAAGGCTATGATTTCAAAATGGCTACAATTAACTGGCATTTAAATTTAACCCATTTGACACTGAAAGCCAATATTTGATGCTAAATTCTGGTGTAAAATCCATTATTGCTTGTGGGATCTCCAGACAGCAGGCACTAGGGGGTAACTGTCAATCTCTCCAGCACGTCAATCACAGAACAATTGGAAATGTGGCTCAGATGAAAATGAGACACAATAGCTGAACAACAAAGAAAACTAGTCAGAAGCAYGTAAATGAAATTTGGTAGCATTGTTGCTTTATATATTTATATATTTAAAATGGATTATCACTACAAATGAAGTAATATGCAGGTTATAAAGGCAACACCAGTCTTTTATCAGTAAGATTATTATGGCTAGTACCACAATAACAAAAAAGGGGGAGAATGTACATTTTGAAGCACACACGAATGTATACATATAAAGAAAAGCAAGGCGGAAAAAAATCCAACAAAAAGATTTACCCAAAATGGATTTTGAAGATTTGAAAATGAAAGCATAAGAATGGCTCTACAGGTTGCAAAGCAAAATTAAAAGGCATACCTGAGTAAAGACTTCAACCACAGACACAAATGTTATGGGTATTAGGCTTTATAGGTCAAAATGAAAATACACTGGTAAACCATTTAACATAGTAAGTTTTCTGAAGAAAACTTCTGCCTGGATGTAAATAAGTCCCTTTCAATTTATTCTTTATTGGCTTTCAATCAGTCTAAACAGGRATATATGTTTTAAAGAATATGCAGGTTAGGTACTGTAAGTATTTCAAATAGATTTATGTTCAGATTTTTTACTTTTCCAAAGTGATGTATTTAAGCAGTCATTTTGTCTCAATACAAGCTCTCTCTTGTAGGRCCCTAAAGACACTGACAGTATAAGATCCAGTCTCTTTGAATCTAATGTTCCTTCTCCAAGTAATGATTTTATAGCTCATAATACATACAACATCAAGATTTTATACTTAATGTATACTTYATCTTCAAGAGATAATAATAAACATAAGAGAAGCAATATTTTTGTACTTCTAGGATGAAAAGATACAGAGAAAAGTGCCACAAATACAAAGCTTGGAACTGTTCTAAGTAAAACTTCACCTTACTTAATCAAAATTACTATGTTCTCGTTTGCACGAGTTTAAAAAGTTTTCAAAAAGAACATCATACAAATATGTTCTTCTCACCATCAAAGCAGTATCACATGTAATTAGTTAAGCAGAAAGAATAAATGAGAGGGCTGAYATGTGCTGGATTTTTAATCTATAAATTCAAATATATGCTTTCCAAAAAGGAACAGAATGAAAAAAGAATGTATTGTAAAGGTAAAATTCTGCCATTAGTATTTCTAAATTATATTTAAATTATCATATATAGGAAGATCTTGTGATTACCCTCATATTTATTACAGATAAGAATAAAGAATACTGAAAAATTCTTGAAAACATAGTTTCTCTCTATCAGTATTGTCTCATGTTAATAATTGAGATTGCTGAGACAAAGCTGAGCCTAAGTTAGGCAGAAATACAGAAATTCCTTATACTGAACTTTCAATGATTTTTTTTTCCTTTGTTTTGGCATTTGGAGTTTTGTTTGGGGTTTTAGGCATTTTTTGTTTGCTGCTTTAAATCAAGAGATACAGCATTTATTCAAACTGTACTAATTCTAGAAGTAAAAACTTTAGTTCTGTGTAAGAATCAGTCATCTTGTCTTCTCCCTGACTTTTGGGGAGGGTGATGAGGCTTTGTTGGTTTGTTTGCTTTGTGGTTTTTGGGTTTTCATTGTTTGGGGTTTTTTCCACTCCAGTAAATATTAAGTTCTCCTGGCTTTCTGGTCTACCTCAAAAAAACTGGAGACTAGAAGAAAGAAAGCAAATTGAAAAAATTGAAACAATTTTTTGTAATTGCTGTATGAGAATATTCATCTCAGATTTTGTGATACAAACAGCTTTACATTTTAGCTCTTTGGGTAAGGGACTGATACAAACAAAATTCACAGTTAACTGAAAACTTTCTCACAAGCATACTGAAAATCAGGATATTGAAATAACTTTCTTCAGACTAATTTTTATGAAATTAAAAATATACTTGTGTGGAACCAATTTTTTTGTCTTTTTAAGTACAGTATTATTGTATACAATTTATACTAAAAAGAGAGTAAAAAGAGTTAAATTAAATTTACTCYWCCAGCCAAACTTCAATTTACTATTTCTATGCAATAAARWTTCCAGCCACTACATCACAGCAAAAATACTCTTTGGATGGGTTTCTGAACTAGGTAATATCAATACATTATGGTAAGAAATAATGTTTAAAAAAGGAGTTGAACATTATGATTGATACTTCTCTTTGGCATTTTTACCTCTTTGCCCAAAGGCAATCTAGTAAATAAATAGGAATTACATTACTTCCTCCTTTATAATCAGAAAATCATGYTTTGCCTGTAGAATAATCCCAGGTGTGGGGAGGCTCTTCAGCTGTGTCCAGCCCGTGGGCAGTTGTGGCGTGGTTCCCAAGCCTTGGTGCACCATGTGACCAGCAGCGGGCTGTGCCACTGCAGTCTGCTGGGAATTCCATGTGCCCAGTGGTGAGACAAAGGCAGCCAGAAGGGGAAACAAAGGTCAGTGCTGCAAGGCCTCTCTGGGACCCTTTTCACAGCCCATGAAGCCTCATAGCACAGCAGACCAGTATCAATAWTTGAGAGCCAGTATTGCCTCGTAGAAAACGAGCTACTCTTGCTCCTCTCACACGAGCAGTAGGACATGTAGACTTACAGCAAGTGATATTACGAAGCTGCCACAGCACAGCAGGCAATTAGAAGCAAATTTCTTTATTATCTTAGATCTACTTGAAACTTTTARTATTTTTGCAGCACTTTTTTCCTCCAGAGCCTCAAACAGTACCCTATTAGACACAAATCATTTTTGCTCACTTGMATACACCCACAATACTTGTTTTACCATGCACTCTCCTCTGACCTGCTTCTAAGCTTCTAATTGACCTATGGGTCAAGAGCTTCATCCTTACTTTGGTTCTCCCAACAGCTGTGAAATAGCAAGAAACAGAGCAAATGGGCAATCACTCGTGCCATACATCCTGAAATTGCTCGCTCCCCACAAATTATACCAACATTGGTGCTGTACAGTAAATTGGAACACGTCAAAACCCTGTAAAGCTGAGAAATATAGAGATATTTAACCTTACTGACTTGAATAAATCCCTTTTTTAAGAAAAAAAAGGCATTTTTAAGGCCTATGTTATTAAATGCAATAAATTTTGTTTTAATCTCATACAATTTTATATAAAGTCACATATGAAGACAGAAACAACTCACAAATACATTTGCTGACCTAATCAAATCTTGCTTAAAAGCTAACTTGCCAAAGGAGATGCCCTGCTGGCAAAGCCTCTTAATGACACATTGCCAATCCATTTAAGGCCAAAGCTGAACCATCTCTAAACAGGTGTTGAATTGTGATCATGGATTAAAAGAAAACCTGAGGAAAAATTGCCAAGAAATTAAACACCTCTGGGTCACTAGTTTGAATCTATTCCAGACTAGTAAATCAGCTACAGTAATTACCATCTGGTAGTCTACATAAAAATAAATTACTGGCTTTTTTGTTTTAATTCATTTTGTGCTACACAAAGGTCTCTACAAACACAAGTTTCAATTGTAATTGAATGCTTTGTTGATAATCTCACTAGGTTATATCCAGTGCAGCTATGTACTCAGCCTTCTCATTGCTGGTGGGCCACCAGTTCACMTAACAATTCACTGCAAGGGTGTGTRCACCACACCTACAGGGTTACAGACAGAAGAAGAAAACTTTATTTTCTTAACAAGAAACTATTTATGTCCAAAACAAACAAAAATGCTTTCTGCTCCATTACCCTCAGGACAACAGCAGGCTCACAATTCAGTCAATGTAAAAATAAAGACATTCACTGCTAAATTTCACCATATCAGTGTGGAGGAAAAGTTGACAGGGCCACTAAGAAACATACCTATCTTCTGTTTTCAGAACGAAATTCTTTTTGAAGAAGAATTAAAAACATATAACTTAAGAAAAGTGGTCTTTTAAAATATGTCCAGATATCCAAAACAAAAAACCCTCTAGGTCAGTTGATTTTGGAATAAACTGCAATACTTATGGTAGTTCTCCCACAAAACATAAGTACATTTAAAGCAACTGTCTGTTCTATATTGCATACACAATTTGAACGGAAATTCTTGCACACTACATGTAGCTGGTTTATTTCATTCTAAGGAAAAATTTCAGTTCCATTAGGCTTTTTAATTTGAGTATTTGGGGGTTCTTCCCCCCCCCCCAACATTTTTTTTTTAAATACGTTGCCTTTTTCCAGGTCATTGTCATGAAAGCATTAATTAAAATGACCTTAGAAACAATTTTCATTCTTTTTCTATTTTTTTTTCTTAGCCTACATTACAAGAATTAAACTTGGTAATAACCAAAGTAATTTACACTCCACTTAATGTTTCTTTCACAGCACAGATATTTGATTTATGATACAYTTTATGTATTTTTCTCCCTTTGCTTCTTCAGACAAACTCAAAAATGCTGTTTTCACCCCTAAATTTTACTAAACTCAATGTGTAGATATAAAAACCTATGTAGTTTCTCTCAAAATACAATTGTCAACAGTTTAAAAAACCTGCTCATTTTCTTCATTTCTCTCATCCTCCCCTCACACATTTTTCTTCCAGTTYCTTGACATAAAATGCAGGCTACAATAAAATGGCATAGGCCATCACAAGGGCATGCAAACAAAGCATTTTTCTTCAGTGAAGGCCCACCTTAATTATTTTAAGTGCCTCCTTCTGAAATCTGACATTTTGAAGGAGGAAGGGAAGTAACAGAAAGACACTCAATTGGATAAATGAGAGCCAGGCATGAGCAGAAGCTCAGCAACGTGAATTCTCGGACACAGCTGTTCCAAGTAGAATATTCACTTTAACTAATAGGGGGAGAGATGGATGCTAGGTAAAAAAAATCAATACAAGAATAGATAAAAAGTTTTATTTGTTGCTGGTTGTTGTTATGCTGTTAGGTTTGATTTGTTTTGGATTTTTTTAATGAAGTCTCCTCTGAGGAAGAACTTGTGTCTGTCACAGGAAGGTGCTTCTGTTTCATKAGTCTGAGGAAACAGTTCAGCTATATTACTGGCAGGGTTTTGAAAATCTCAATGGCAGAGCAACATTCAGTTAAAAGYATTGCTAACTCTTCCCCTTTCCTGTCCCAAACATGGTTCATTTAAATATAGATGCATTTTTAGAATTTCAGCTACAATTGCATTAGTTGCAGGTAAATGACAGATTTTTAAAACAATTTGTTGGCTCTTAAATGACTGGAGWAATAATTTATATTAAAGCAATAAACAACTAAAATCTGTAGCATCCATCCTGATGTCAACCRCTGCAATACCTTGTTACATAATTTGCACGTGTAACACACATATGTAACACTACTCAGTATCTGTAGGATCCTTTATCTTCTGCCTTAGCATTAAGTACCCTGAAATCTCAAGCCTGTGTATTATTGAAGAGAAAAGCACTTAGATTTAAAACAGGATCTCTGYACCAGGGTATAATCTTACAGGTAACTTTTTGCTACATGCTGGTAATTGCAATTAAGGCAGATCTTGCCAAAATGTTAAATACACCTCAAAAAGAGCCCAGAGGTCTCTCTGTCCAGGTAGCTACAACATACTACATATCTTTCAACTGTCATTTCAGAACACAGCTCCAACATGAGGTCTCTGCTGCTCTAATGCTGCTCAGAAGAGGTGATACTTGTTTAAGTATTGCTAACTAATAAGCTACAATTATTTATTTCAGTCACCTGAAGTCRTGAACTATTTTAACATTGAAGATTACTTATGGTTTATGGCATTTTAACTTATGTAACTAGTGGGTCATGTTAAAGAAGAACAAAACAAACCCTGCAGTTAAACAGTAGTGTCATTTACATATGGGCCAATTTACTCCAGAACTTCTATCTCTCTCCTTTCTCTTGCTTCAAAGCCTTCCTGCTCCAATTTCTCCTACAACATGCTTCCCCTGCCACCAAACCCCTACTTGATGGTCTCCAATTTCCCAGGAATTACTGGACAGCTTTTTTTCCAGTATCAGTAATTTAATGGAACAGGAATCTAAACAAGGGCTAAGGTCTACAAAGCACAAAACATTTTGCTATGATTTTTTTTTCCTGCCATTTTCTGACAGGCATAAGGAGCTGCTTTTTGAATATCAAACCTGAAATCTGTTATACCGGCATAATACTCTACGTCAATAACATAAAAATTATAAGCAGCCCGTAAGAAGTCCTAATTTAAAATGTTTCACTAATCTTACTATATCGTGTATTTTTTTAATATTTTGCAATTAAGGTAAAAGGGAAAGTACTATATTACGAATAAAGTTTCAAAAATGCAGCAACAGTTTGCTGACCCTAATTACTTTCTATCTGATTCACCTTGATGAGGTATGAACATCAAAGCTTAATTTGGACACAACAGTTGATTAAGCATAATCAATTTGCTTTAAAAACTTGCAAAAAGAAAGGTTTCTTTAATGAAACAGCCCTTAAGTTCTGATTAAACTTTTAAAGGAGATACTAACTTTTGCATCTGTTTGTAGGAAAAGCTAAAGGCTTTAAAAATAGATTCTGAAAGACCAGACATCATTGTATTAGTGATTGTATTTTATAAGGGTTTTGCTATGAGAGTAGGAATTATAACTATACTATTTTCCCAGCTTGAATACAGTTTATTCAAGGAAAATGAAAAGAAAGAGCAGGTAATATTAAAAAAAAATTATTCTGGTAACTGGTCTGATAACACTTACATTGGTTGAATACCAGCTAAATTTTACAGTTTATAGTACTAGATTAAAACACCACAACTGTGAGCAAGTCCACCACACTAATGTTTATAAATTGTAACCATATCTTTATCATTTTACCTTACCAATTTCAGGTACCARTATGTATCATTCTCCAGTGAATTAAAGAAATTACATTATAAAAAGTAATTTCGCTGTTACCCCAAATTTAAATGGCACATTAAAATTTGCTACGAAAGTATAGCATTTGTTAATTTGAAATGAAATACTTCTGTTAACATCACTTAAAAACATTGCTATTCCTAACTAGATGGACATATACCCCTCCCCTCTCCCATCATTTATTCTTGTAGTTTTGCCTAAAAGAAACTGTTTCTCTAGTACATTAAGATTAATATGCATTTAAAATACATTCATATTTCCATGAACTTATTATATGAAATTTGCCTCCAAAGATTAATTTTTATTTTTTATATATACATATGCTATGTGTTTSAGCCAAAAAATCAATTAAGAACAAGTGTTACACATCTGATTATGCATAATAACACCATCAAGAAAAATTAAATAATACAATTTAAAATCATTACTGTTACCTGGAATAGCTGAGGTAAAGCTTTCACTGTGAGACAGAACCATATTCCCAGCTTGCATGGAAGTAAGTCATGCCACTGTGGTTTGTCCAGTACTCTGCAGTCAAAATTGTAGGTTTTTCATCATTACCACATAATCTCAAAGCCAGAACTTTCCCATTATCCTTTAAGATGATTAGCACTTGTCAGCTCCCATAAAAATGTCTAACTACATAACAATGAATATATATTTTAAACACTTAATTCAAAATATGTAACAACAAACTTCCAATCACTGCTGTATTTTGATCTCCTAAARGAGCTTTTCTTCAAGAAAATAAATTCATAAGCCACATAATCACTTCAGTTGAAACAAAAAAACAAACCAAAAAAAACCACTCAAGCCTCAACCAAGTGTTCACAAGTGCTGACAACTGGATATGAAGACTGTAGTATAAACAAAACAATACATAAAAATTAATGTCGTTTGCAGTTCACTGGAGCATTACTCACTGATGTCATCAGCAAAGACGACAGGCAGAATGGTCTCTGATCTCCATCCCTCATTGATCCAGTTCATGCCCCTGCTGTGTGAACTATTTAAACCCTTTATTTCTTTCTATGAATCAATAGAAGAAATGGTGGTATCTTTTGGAGTGTCCTGAAAGTCACTATTTCCCTATGTGTTCCTTGACAAACAATGTGTTAGAAGCCTTGACCAACAYGCTCATTTTTAAGTTAATCAGATAAAAAGCATTTAACCAGACAAGCATTAAAAGGCCATAAAAAATCCCTGCTTGGTATAGTAATAAATTAAAGCTCAAATAAACTGAAATTTGTTAACTGTAATCAAAGGCATAAATCTTTAAAAACTTCTAAAATCATACCCTCTTGTAAGGCATWTGCCTTTAATTCAGCCATAATCTTTCAATGATTATTGATCTGCTGAATAAACACCACGWGTTTATTTACAAATCCAAAACTGAAAACACAGCTACATTGGCACACTTTAAATCAGCAATGGCTGTTACTACAAACAGTTATTTTCCCTCATAGARTATTTCAAAGATGCAAAAAGAAAACTATAGAACCAAATCAGTAGCTGGCAGAATGTTTTAAAATGCAGAAAACAAGAGAGTTTCTTCCCACCTTTCATTTTTGTCTAGAGCAGYAAGTTTGGCTTCATCTGCACTCCTGCCGCCTGTTTTTTTCTTCTTCTCCCTCTTTTTTCTGCTGAGCAGTTCATCCTTGATGTAGAAAGAACTACGGTTACAGGTTATCATTAGCATGTAAACCACAAATGTTACTGGGACTCTTCTGTGAAGGGTAAACAGTAGAGTAGCATTTATGCAAATGTATCTGGGGTCCTACATGATTAAGTAAAATGATCTATCTTAACAATAACTGTTGCCATGGTATCCAGTCTTTAAACACACATGAAGTCCAGTTCTGTCACTCATGTGTATCTCCATAGCAATCAAAGTTTTCTAAGAGGAGAAAGCATTCAACTTGCCTCCTTTCTCATTCATCAACTTCAATAATGCAGTAGAAAATAAAAAAAGTAAATAGATGCTAATGTATGAATATTTTTCAAGTTATGCTYAGTTTTTTTCTTAGTCKACRAAGTGYAACAAACAKTTGTATGRMAAAAAATAAAATTATCAAAAAATARTGWGTTTTATACTGCTTACCAATTCCCACTATGTTAAGGAAAATCGAAAACAAAAAAGCATTTASCTTAGAACAAAGGCAAAGCAAGCATGACTTCTAAATGAATAAAACCTGATTAATTTTAAACYATAGATATGACTACAGAAGCAGATGATTTTGCATCAACAACTGACAGAAGACATTTTATTTCTCTTCTTCTKGCTAAAAACCAAAGGACCAGCTCCTGCAGTTTATTACCAATTGTAGAAAAAAATTAAGTAGTTTTTAGATTACTGTTTCTGAGATGCTTAATAGCTTATTCTCTAATTATCACTGTTTTAAATATAATCCTTTTAAAACATGAAAAATCCAAATGCAAACCAGTGGAAGTGGTAGAGATCTCCTTAATATGCAAACTTCTGCAGGAAATCTAATACTAATAATTGAAGCAAGTTTGATTTATTACCAATACTTACCAGCTGTTTTTCCAGGTAGATTGACCAAACCACAGCATAATGACCCACTGTGAGTATAATGAACAAGAGTAATGCCAGCTCAGCATTGCTCATTTTTCTCACCCGCCTGTAGTAGAACACAGGCTGTCGCCAATCTGGTAGTCCATTGATCAGAATATCATCATACCTACAGTAGTAAATATAACAGGCTTTCATGGAGAGCTAAAAATGAAATAAGCCAAACTATCCAATTACAAAACAAAAGATAATCCACAGAGTGCTTGAATAACACACACACAAAAGATCATTTAGTAATTTTTTTTTTTTTTTTAGAGAGCAATGCCTTGTTTTGCCAGCAGATAGGCTTGCATGTGGAAACAAACAGAATCCAGAATCAAATGTTGGGGCAGGGGAAAAAAAAAATCAAATGATCCTGCAACACTCATCCCCCCCTGTCCCTCCTAGTTCATTTACTTTTGAAGTAAGAGACTTCCAGAAATGTCGATGTTTTCTACGTGCTCAGTAATCAGTGGGCACTCAGTAATCAGTGGGCAGGTTCTCCATGATCGAAGTAAATAACAACCCACTAACTACTAAATAGGTAGCCAAGAATAAACATCTCAAACACTACAAACCCTTTTTTCTTTTACAAATTAAAATCACAGGTGCTGGGGGGAAAGGAGAGGTATCTCTGCTTTTTGTTTTTGTCTTTTAGTACCACAAAATACATTAGGCAAAAACATGCCAGACTTATCATCCCTTCTTTGTAAGATAAGCGTTTAAGTTAGAGACTTGATATTGATGCTTGATAACAAAGTTCATCAGTTTTTGATTTTCTATTTGAAACACTATCTTCAAGATCAACCTATTTTAAAACTGTTCAATTATTAACACTACTAATTGCACAGAAACCATTTTATGACAATCCCTTTTCCTTCACACAAATGTCTTGAAATATCTTAGCATGTCTGAGGTCTTTTATTTACAGTATATGATCAATTTAAAAATAAACAAACCACAGACATTCAAACCAGATGTTTTCAAATTAACTTTTCAAATTAAAGTTTCAAACAAAAATCTCTACAATAAACTCAAAAACCTGTATATTCAAGATGCACAACCTGTTAATCTTAAATTGAACGCAACTCATTACATATTCTAATCACACCATTTCCAGAATTAAATCTGCACTGAAAGGCCTAATTTGGTGCAACACATTGACCAAAATATTTTAATTAAAAATATTCTGAGTTAGTCGCAGGCCTAATTACAGGAATAGAAATAGGGCCTATATTGTCATGCAGGTCAGTAGAACTCAGTAGTAGGTTTTTCTCAAGTAAATTGACCAATCCAGGAATAATAGCGCAGCTGCTAAACTGCCAGTCTTGACATGTAAATCAATTTAAATGCAACAACTGCACTAGCTACTTTGATAGTTATTAAATTGATACCTTGGAGATGTACTAGAAAAAAAAATTTCCACAAGCAAATTCATTTTTTAAGTAGAAAAAGAAGGAGAGGTTTTCAATTAAAAAATATACTTTCATATAGTGCATATCTGAAAAGCTGATTTCTGGTAAAACATTTGTTCAAGTTGGCATTATTTCCACATAAAAGACTTAACACCTCAGGATTCTGCTGTGTTCTGAATGATACCAGAAGTAAAATTCATATCACAAAATTCTATTTTCTATTATAACTATGAGAATACTAAGGTTAACATCTATTATTGTAAAATTTGAACTAATAACTTTTTCCTTTCCCAGTAGGTCAGAACAAATTAACTACTGACACCTTAATATAAACTCTGTTCAGAAAAATCACTTATGATGTTATTTTAAAATTTAAACCTCTACTTAACTTTTGTTTAAGAAATAAGTAGAAGTTTTAGCCTTTAAAAAATAACACACTTAAAAGATTTTAATGATAATAGAAAAGAATATTTTAGAAACAAAACCATTTAAAAAATAAGGATGTTCTTTCTTTAAAATCTTCACAGAAATACAAGTAGAATSAGGATTTGTTAAAAATACTAATAGACATTTATTAAGCCGTTGCCTTCTTATGCACTATGGGTTCTTGATTGATGTACTGAAATTATTAAAGTCCATACAAGCCGATGGTAACAATACAGTAATACGTAAACCAAGATTTCAAACTAACATTTGGCAACCATGTTCTGTTATAAATTATCTGTTAAGAAAAAATAAATGAAGACWGCAGAACCTCTTGCATTAAGTGCTTTAAACAGCACTCGGTATTTACTAGGCTATGTCCGCTGTTCTGAACAACAGTCTCCAAGGATTAAGTCTCAGAATCAATGCTCTATTGATTTTACTATCAATGAGCATTATGGCTCACACGACTGGCCATTTTAAGGGAAGATAGCTTCTATTATAACCCACTTTTTAGAATATATACTGTTAAAAGATAAATCACTGCTTTCAATAGTAATTAAGCCCTGTATTTGAAAAATAGAGATATCAATGATTTTTAGGTTTTCAACTGGAAAATTATCCTACCGAAACTCAGAAGCTTCCATAATTTTTAAATCTTGAATTTCAAATTTAGAATGTGATTTAATTAAAAGCAAGTTTCCAATTAAAAAAAATCATGTATAGACACTTAATATTGACTATGAAAGACAGTTAATCCGTGYGCATCAAGAACTACATTTGAAATTTAATTATAAAGCATTTGGCAACCTGTATTAATTGTAACTCTATGTAAGGAAAAAAAACAAGCTTAAAAGACAGAGCTGCAGGATTTTTCCACAAATGTATGTACAGAGAATACAGTAAATTTTTCACATATCAGTATGTCTACCAGTTGTTTCTGAAATGTAGCAGTCAACAAGCTACACAAAACCCCCAAAGCACCAGTTCAGAAAAACATTCAGCCAAAACCATTCCCCATTTAAAACTACGCTGAATATTTATTTTAAATCTCAGCAGTCTAGAAGATTCAGTAGTCCAAAATTAACAAATTGCAAGATATTAATATTTCTCTTTTTCTGTAAAGTTTCATGTAATAGTTTAGAGTTCTTTGTGCATTAACAACATTGCAAGTAAAAAATCCATTCTGTAGCAACTAATTACAGTATCATCAGTCTTAATATGATTATAATTTACTTTTCCATTTAGGAGAGCCACTGCATTTCATATTTCAAATAATTTCAGAGATATGACATAGTTTATATACTATAACCTTGAGTTAATGAGGACTGTTCTGAACTACGGAAAGATTGCACTGGTGTTTTTTTTTATTTTGGGGGGGCCAATTTTCCTCAAGCTGTTAAAGACATCCAGCACAACATCAGCCAGAACAATTTATACCTATGAATACAGACATTTCATTATTAATGAGAACTAAGATAGACACCTTTCTTACTCTAAACAAGTACATCGTGATTCCTTTGCAAATTTTTCCTTTAATCAAGCCAACATTGTTACAGAAGATAGGCCTGGTAGGTTAAAAAAGCTCCTTAACAAGGTAACAAACAAATGAAAATCTAMGATTTTTTTTTGTCTAATTACAATTAACAGAAGTGCATAAAACAATCTATTTTTGCATAAAGATAATCACAGGCTAATAAAATTTATCACCGTCAAATTGATTTACCCACAAATGCCCTAAAGGTGAAGTGTATTTCAGAAAACGCACCGATCTCTACATACYCAAAGATAAAATTTTCCGTAGAATTTCACACTGGAGTACACACTCCAGTGTGTACACTGAATACAGCACATAAAATATTGTGTTCTGCTGCATGTAAGTTTAATTTAATGTTAAACACTGCCATATTAAATGGAGCTGCATGTATGTTTATTGTCAGAATATTTGAATGTTTTGATCATGTATCACTCAAAAATGTAAAAGAGAAGTACTAACATGGTAATATTACTGTATTCTGTAGTACTATTAATGAGACTAGCATACTTCACAAGCAACTATATAACTTCCTCAAAAAAGAAAAACACATTTTAAAGCCCAGTACTGTCAYTGTAAATAGAGGAACTGTAATATTTTAAGAAAGGTTTCTGCCATCAGATAAAGCAAAAATTCACTGATAAATAAGAAAACACAAAGGTTTTAGAAAAATAATTACATATAGCTGTTCAACAGATCTGCCTTTTTAAAACAGTTTCTGTACCCACAAAAACAACACCTCTGACATTCACCAAGAATGACATTCACGGAGAAGASGTTTTATTGTTTCAAAATGAGTTCTTCACTCCCTCATACAGTGCAGGACCTTATTCCTGCCTTTGCTGGCTCCACTCTCTGTACACACACCAAGAATGATGCAGGATTACATCACTTTTGAGATGAACAGTAAGAGGCAGGTACAGCTGACTTCACTGCACAGAAGCAGACGCCTGCAGTTTGCTCTTCTCTTGGTGGTGTAATCCCCTGCCCCGAACCATTTAGGTATCCAGTYATGGAGGGATTCCCAGCTCAACTGTCAGCATAAGGCTGCAGCCCAGTTTCTGCCCAGTGCAGGGGCATGACACTAAGCTCTGAGCCTATTCCTGTCCATCACCTCACGCAATTCAAAGCCAAATATCAGCATTTAAAGTAGAAAGATTACAAAAAGCAGTAATTGCCACCCTTTCCTTTGCTGTACAGTTGTGAGTAAGCTTCGAGTTACCTTCCAACAGAACCAATCTAACAGGAGGAGCAGCTCCTATCACACTTACTGAAGACTTGGATGAGAGATGTGCTACAACAACACCTTACAGGGCACACGACAAGCCACCCTTAGTTTACAAGCTCAGTTGAGAGATTATCTTTAGGTTGTGCAATAAACCTGATCAATACAGGGCTTCTCAAAGCAATGAGACCATATAGCTCTGCTCCACATGTTATTTCTAAACTCTGTGTATTATTTCCAGAAAATTCTCTGAAGGTAAACATTGTTTAATCCACTACATTTTATTTATTCAACTATAAAATCGATATCAACCATACACACACATTGTGCAAGAAAAATATGACATTGTCTATGTACAAGATAAGTTAGTGACAAATCAGTCTAAGCTAGAACAAGCTACTGCTGCTTTAACTTCTTATTTGCAATGACTTGAATCAATTGGCTTCACTAATTAATGGTATTTGAAGTAAGTTACATTTATAATGTATGCAGGCCTTAAACTGTAATTTTTGCAAGCTACTGCATCAGAGTTTAATGCAAACGGCTTCTATTACAGATGCAAGGACATTCCTACAAGTTCCATGATGGAACCAAGTTCCAGAGAGGCAACATCTTGGGGTGTATGTAAACAATGCTATAAATAAAAAGTTGGGAAGATCTGGGGAATAATTCACTTTTAAGTGTCTTGATATCATTTAGCTAACATTTTTTAACTTCCCTYGAGTGTAACTTCACAATTAAATTCTCCTTAGACAGATGAAATAAAAACCCCATAGATTTCCAAAAGTGCTTCTATGAAGTACATTTYCATGACACTTGAAGAGGGGATTATCAAAAAAGTAGATAATCTGTACTATAAACCCTGGACTCCTGCCAAGACATCCACAAAGCCAAAATCCCTTCTAGAAATGTCTCATATAACCCCGTTTAAAGACTTGTAAGCTGAAAGATGATTTACTAAAACTCCAACCCAAAAGCAAAAGTCTTTCAGTGTCTCAGTTTTTCTGGTAATCACTGGTCGAAATTCCTACTTATTTATTTATTTAAAAAAAAAAAAAAGTTCAAAATAGTCTTCCAGAAAGCAGATTAGCCCCAGGTTTCCAGTTCTTTATTCTACCCCTTCAAGGTACTGCTGGAAATGCTCTGGAAGCAACAAGGACAACTAGCATTTATTAATAAAATATAGTATGTATATCCAAGTTTGCACTATTAGAGATAATAGATCAGAAACAAAAAAACACCTCTATGAACTAAGCAAAAGAAAACAATGCTGAAGACAACAGACAGTGGAAATAATCCCTAAAGTTCATGCAACAAGCTTTTTCCCCACACAGAGAGGGTATGACTGACAGTTGCATAAGTGGCCAGTATTTTCCAATCACAGTTTTTAATAAAATAGYTGACAACTGTGCAAAAAAGCTGATATAATTAAGTATTCAAAAATTGCTTGAAATAACAGCTAGCTTTCAAAGTTTTTTCAAGTACTAGTTTTTAAGGAAAAAAACAGTGTGCCATGCAAAAATACCACCTTGTACTTTAGGCCACATGCAATCTTTAATTAGACAATTAYATAGCAATTACAAACTTAAATTATACAAAAAAAAATCTGTAGTGTTACAACTAAGTCAGATAGAACTTGAATACAGCACTGGTAAGAATGCTTTATTTAAAAACCTGGGCAATTTAACTTACCTCTGCCTCCTTTCTTCATCCTTTAAAACCTCATAGATGGCCACTAACTAAAACAAACAAACAAAAGAAATAAAAAGAAAACAAACACAGAGAGAAAGATTTTACTTTATGATTGAATGTATAAACRTTCGAACAGTAGCATCACATTTACATTTGCCAACAAATGACCTTTTCTAGTTTTCACTTTTCTCTACRCCACTAAGTAGCGAACCCATCATGCAAAAGAAACAGTAATATATTAATATACAAAGTGTAACCAAACAAGCAACACTTATACAAGGCTCTCTTCCTCATCCTCACATCTATCAGAGTCTTGTCTCAGTTATACCCTAGAAGTAGGTATCACTTTTTGCATCCTAAAGTTCTTATTAAATTAAGTAAGCTGTATTTAGCCCGAGGTACATTTTTAAAGGTAGTGCTAATTACAAAGTCATGTTGTTTTACTCTATAAATATCCAAAGGATGAAAATAACTAACTCTTTTCATTAAATTATGACTATCTAGGACTTGTGTTGAGAACTGATCAGAAATTTTCCCCACTGTTTTTGAAGATGCAAAACATATTTTTCTCCTAAGAGTGTATAATGTTCCAATTATTTTTAATATATAGGTAAATACTAAATACAAGCTATTGAACAAGTTAATTTCAAAACAGTGTACTTGGTTTCAGTCTAGCTACATCAGCAAAAATGTAATTCAATGTTTAGCTTATTAATTTCTAAGGTGTATCAGTGTTCTTACTAAAACGACACCAACATAAAAATTCTATTTTCCCCTAAAACTTTATTGCCACACGTTGCACTTACTTGCCTAAACTGTATTTCTGCATTTTCATCTTTATTCTTATCCGGGTGTAAAATTAGAGAAAGCTTTCGATATGCTTTCCGAATGTCTGCAGATGAAGCATCCTGAAAAAAAGGAAAACAAAGCAAATTGTCAGAAACTGATTCCCTGAACTTTTTTAAGATCTGAAGACAGCCCACCAAGTGYAGGAACTAAGGCAACGTAATTTGAGACATCTAACAACCAAACTGCAACCAGCCCAGCCTAAATGACTTAACAGCCATTCAGTTCAATTCATCTTTCATCTTAACTCCCTTCATTACCATACATCCATTACAACGACATTTGCCAATACTTCCAAACACTTTCTTGCTTAAAATCCAACCCGGGAACCTTCTGCACCATTTAAAAGTTCAAATGAAAACTGAAAATTATTGCATCTGCGTATCTTCAAGACAGACATAATTTCAGCAAATTATCATGCTCAATTTCCCAAACTCAGGACTTGCTAGGAACTCTTCCCTTATTAATATTTACATGCAATTCACTCCTAATAGGACTTCCATTCAAGTTCAGCTTCACCATGTCTAAAGAATTGAATTTTTCTAAAGTAGCTTCAAATTGCAGTCTTGGAGCTATACTGTAGCACTGACATCAATCTATACCTTAACCATTATAAGAATTGCACACATTTTGGGAGAAAAAAAATAAAACTCAAAYCACAAAATTATGTACCAACCTAGCTGCACAAATGCAAATTTCTGAATTAATGAGTACATTATAGCATTTAGTACATGMCATAAAGATATCCAGGAATGAAGATATCAAGAGTTGTATTCTACATTATATAGGTGTTACCCTCACCAGAAGATCCACAAAGCACATTTAAACAGAACTATTTGCATTCTATTGCTAACATGCCCAAGGCAACCTTTTAGAAATCAACTATTTATCTGACAATTTTTATTTCTTGATTTTATATATATTGTTACTAAGCAYATTCTCTCTCTCAAAATTACAGTGTAAATAAGGATTAAAAAAAACACCAAAACCCAGATCTGAATTAGCTGTGGAACAGAGTGAAATAAGATAATAATTAATGCAATACTGTAATTAGTCTGTCAGGCTTTTTATTACAAATCATTATTTTCATTTTAAGATTTTCAGTTTTATAACATAAGGCTATTAAAACAYTGTTCAAGTTTGGGCCCAGAGCAAATAATAGTGAAAGACTGAATGAGGGGGAAGAGAAACGCAGGGCAAAATGCAGAATTTGAGAAAATTCAGCATTGAAACTATATTTTAAGGAAGTTGGCATTTTTCCCTAATACAAGACTGAAGTTTCCATAGTTTGTTATCTGTCTAAAGACTATGTTTTTGTTACTGAAAGGAAGATTTCTCCTGAAAAAAACACATATGGATTTTTTAATTTTTCCATTTTTAACAGCTACTTGTAAGGCATGTGCACACCAAAGCCGAACTCCTCTGCTTAAACAGCAGCTTGCTTCCAGCTTGATTACTGCCAATGAGTTGTTTCAMATTGCCATTGTTTTGTAGGTTTATTTTTAACTCTCAGCTAAGGGGAAGGAAGAGACAGTGACAAAATATCTATTCTAAGCTCAGAAAAACATTTAATCCTTRAGACATAGACTTAACAGAATTATATTACAT